CGCTCACAAGTTGTGGAATGAAATAGTGATGTTCGTCTCATCAGGGGTTTGTCTTTAGCCATGGGAAAGCGCCTCGGATCACGTCGTCTCCCCCACTACCTGTATGCCTTGTCGTCGCGCCAAATAGCCTCAGCGCGTAAAATGGATGTTATATTCGTTATCAGGACCTCAATAACCCCTAAACGCAAGTTTTAAGTTTTCAGCAAATTTGGTGAAAACTCCCTCGGCGCTAAATTGGCGCCAGTCAAAAATGAAGGCATATTCGTTATCAGGGCATCGGATTACCCCTATAGGCGAAGATTCATCGAAAATTAAAATTTTGCGTCTTTGCGGGTGTAATAGTAGAATAGTACCCAAAATTTTGGGCTTTGCAGCGCCAATCGAAGGGCAGAATAGCGCACAAGGATGTATATAAGGTAGTTTTTTATAACGGCGAGAGCGGCGGAGAACAACGGATTAGAGAATACCAATATGCGCGGCTGCGAATTAAGTTCTATATCATGACAGCAAAACCACGGGACCTTGGATGCCCACTTCTATAATACCCCGCCGCACACACCCCGAGGTCATACTCGCCAATCACTACGAACCTTTTCCTTTAGTTGGCGTTCAAAACGTTTTCCACTAAGTGCAAAGTGCTCGCTCTTCTTTTTGGCTGTGAAACCAAATCGTAACCATCTACGAAAAACGAACCTCCCCAGCAACTGGACACGAAGAAGCTAGTCGGACAACCGAAAAATCCGGGTAGCAAAAGCACAAAAATCTGAGAAAGCAGGAAAAGCTTACGATAGTCGTTGTTGGAGTCGACCTTTTGAGCGGAGATTTTTTGTGCGCTCATCTGCCATCTTCTCTTTACGAAGAAGCTGGCCAGTTTAAATCGTAAGGAAGCCTTGAAACCCAAAATTCTGTCCTGCTACTTACCGCGAGTGGTGAACTATTCGCTGCTACCAGTAAGCGTGGTGCGCGGTGGAAGCGAATAAACCCTACATATTCTCTGACGGTGCGATTAGAAACATCTCATCTTTAAACATAGACCGATACCCATGCGTATACATAAACATTCGTAAGGATCAAAAAGATCAAACAGCCCATCCAAGCAAGGCATTGTTCCGATGGAGATAGCCGTCGGTCCACACCGGAGGTCGATTCCTCGAAGAAACTCGCGGTGTCGTCGTCACGCCTTGAAAGTGTTCTATGAGTCATCTTTTATTAGAACTGCGAGGCGTCCGTAAAGCGCTATGCTTACACTGTGACAGTTAGAAGCACCAAAAAATTCGATTCAAACCCATTGCTTACAATATAGGTCAGAAATTGTAGGTCATAGAAATCCTCTCTTCTATGCGAGACTAGTGGTAAGGTGGGTGACCTCGGTTCATATGAGAAGAGTTTCAGTCACGAACGAATATGAAAAGCAGCAAAGTAGAATATTTTGGCTGATAGTTATGCCATTCAACTTCTCTCCACTCACGAAGTAGTCGTGTCGAGACTACTCGAATGCTGTCGTAGTTGATGTGGAGCAGTCGCTACCCAGCATAAGACAAATGCCAAATAAAAAAGTTGGTGGGGCAACTATTGCAACTAAACAGTGAGAGGAGGATAGGAGCAATAACTACAACTCGCGTGCAGGCACGCATATTTGAATGCTGGATACGGTCATTGTCTGTGGTACGCAATTACACGTTTGACACATTAGAGGGATTTTTCAAGTAAAATAAAATAAGATTAAGTTTAATTAGCTCATAGGATCATGGTGGGATCCGCTTACATCTAATTATTCCTTTGTACCTTTTCATTGAACTTTTGAACTTTTGTTTGTCTATTGTACACTGCATTTTGATGGTGCTTCATTTCAGTTTTAAAAATTATTTGCTCAAAGCTGTTTTTGTGGTCATGGTTGCAATGATGGACGCAGATGAAGTTGATGACTATACGGTTATTTGCAAGCAGAAAGACGGTAAGGATGTTCTGCATAATGCTCACTCATTTTTCTCGTTTTTTTGCGGAACTCTTGTATTTTATAGCCCCCAAAACATATCAGTTCAATTTACACTGAAATTTTTCAATAGTGCATATTGATCAGTTGAGCTACTAGGACTACATACGCTGTGAGAAATTTAATGTTCGGAGTGGAGTCGTCGGAATGTATTGCTTTTTTCCATGCACTCAGATGAAATCAGTGAAACAGCTTTTTACTTTTGATATTTGGTGATGACATGGACGCATCAGTTGTAAACACGTTTGTCAGTAACACTTTTTTNTTTTTTCCATGGAAAATGCCTGAAATGCAACGCCTGAATATCACAACATTATCTAATTATGTTGTAAACTCGATCCCTTTCGTTATCTTATAAAATTTTATCATCCACAGGGGTGTTCTATCTTTAATTCTCCGAGTTTTTACACAGGCAGCAGTTTCCCTATTGTCTGTCGTAGTTGCTCTTCACACAAAAGTCATTTCCTTGTATTCTGACCCAAGTAACAGAAGTTAACAACCTTCTATCGGGGCAACAACGAGACGCTAAATAGAAAAGAAGCTACAAAAAGTTTCCACAAATTTTCAGCATGCTATGTCACATCCGTAATGATTATTCATAGGTATTTCATTACAGCTCACACTCGTGGCTTAGTCGGGGTATGGTCATTCCGAGCTGGAAATGGTGTAGTTGGGCTGGTTACTGTTGGACACGACTCTGTGAAACTTTGGCGAATGTAAGTGAATATCCCAAGTTAAACCACTCTAACTAGAAAAATATTGATATTTAGGGATGAAACAGCTAATGGAGCTGTTACACTCACCAGTAAAGTTGAAATACGGGAGTGGCGCACAGCTATACAGTCTGCTGATGTTACCAGCGATGGCAAATGTAAAATAGCCTCACATCTTACACACTACTTGCGGCGTCCTCTGAAGTTTTCATTTCGATCAGGTATCTGTCTGGTGACTATTGACTCCATGTTCTACGAAGTCATCCTCGGCGACGAAGGCCCCGTTGTGATGCCGCACGACTTTGGCGTTATGGAAGCGTGGCATGTACGGATTGCAAAGAGCAAAACAAATTACATCACCAGTATGTTCTCATAAGAACCGTTGATCCAACAATCCGTAGTGACTAGTCGCTGCTATTTTCTTTCAGCCGGATTTTCTGGATTCTTGAAAGAAATTGATCTCAGCGGAAAGGTTTCTCGTCAGGAACCTTTTCCCTCAGCCAAAACTGTCGGTACCCTTGCATACGTAAGTTTTATGCTTCCTATCATTCATGCTTGCTTATACGTTTTCTCAGCATATAGACGTTGAAAGTTAAATGCCAAACCGACCATTCTATAGGAAAAACTTTCTGTTGGTGTGGTTTTTTTCCAATCTACATTTTTCAACTATCAGGGCAGCAGCAATCGCCGCCTAGCGGTTTCTACATTCGAAGGTGTACTACATATATTGGACGCTGCTACCTTAAAAGCAGAGACAACTATTGAAGGTTAGTTTGAATCAGTGATCGGTTTCATTTGAATAACGCACGTCGTTGTAGCGCATTCGAAACGAATCCGTGCGTTGGCTTTTCTGCCTGGAGACGATGAAATTTTGAGTGGGTCTGACGACAAGACCATAAAACTTCATTCACTGTAAGGTTTTAGAGATAACTCCCAACTCTCGTTTTCTTTTTCAAGCTCGTTACATTTGTTCTTTTGTTCTCGTTACTTCTTGAATTCCTAGGGCAGGATCACTATTGTTAAATACCATCTGTTGACCAATCATGAAGCCATTTACATACACTACCATGGGTCCGGGAACTTCTCCCTTGTCACGGCGTCGCACACGCCGCACCCGCCGCGT